TTTCCCTCACTGGGCTCACTTGCTGTTTACATCTGGACAAGATTTTGTTAGCTCAAGTTCTGGCCTTCACACATCTTCCCCCTTTGGGGCAGTAAAAGCAGTTTTCATAGGTATAGAAATGTCTATCACATTAGAAATTGACTCCTGCCAAAGTAACAATTCTATACCAGTGCAAAGCAGTCTCCTTTCCCTATAGGTGCCAGGTGGCACTCTTCAGGAGGGAATATAAAACACAGGATCACGTGTAAGAGTTATCAGTCTGTGCATTAAAACCACACATGATGCAAACATGTAGAAGAGGTTAACTGCATGTAGCTTATTACTGTAATCAGGCAAGATGACAAGTAACCACTTCAAGATGCTAGTGGGTTGGGAGAAACTCCCTCCTTTCAGATATACTTTAAAACCAAAAATGGTCTGACATATAATAGGAATGCTTGGAGCAATGGAACAGGCACCTACATATGCTTCAAGAAATTGCAAACTACAGCAGATCAACAAATACATATCCCTACTAGGACTTGGCCCATTAAGGTCAGTCTGCTGTTTTACGTAACAGAAAACTATACATCATGTAGTGCATATTCACCACTTACATTCTGAACATTCTGGAGTTTTTTTTGTTTTTTTTTTTTCTTTCTAAAAACACATGCAACACTGCGTTTTTATAGTTGTGTTACAAAAAAAAAATTATTTATACAAGACTTTTAGATGACACACAGCCATTTGACTACAACAAAAGCTTTCTCAACTCGTAAAGGGTGACAGCAATTTAATTGTGAAGTGAAAGATAATTCTTTCAGGAACAACACTTCTATAAATATGCACTTCTGGAAGTACTCTTTCAAAAGTGACATTCAGTAATATTTAACCACAAGGACAGATCATGTGCACTAGCAGAAGTTTTCACTAGCTATCAGCTTCAGCCTGCATTAAAAAACAAACCCAAAAACATCCCCCACCAACAGAGGCAGATCAAAGGGCATATACTATCTATTAAAAAATGCATGCAAAAAAGACAGATCTCACAACGAAGTTTAGTAATATTATTACAAGTAATATATAGGCTAATTCATCCTGTATATTGAGATTTTGAATCTCTCAAAACTAAATAAAGCCCATCCTCTGACAAAATGGAGCAGAGATCATCATAGTAGTGTTCCAGGGCCCTGCAACAAACAGAGACTATAAACACAGAAAAGCTCACTTACCTGAAGAATAGAGCAGAAAAACTACCATCCTCAAGATGTAAAACAATCCATTAACTTTCCAGTAACAAATATCTACAGTTGTAAGCAAATACCATTCTCCAACACAAAAGCAATCTATACACCATGTGCTGTCTGGACCTGTAAACTGGCACGTGTTCTATCAGTGATGTTGATTACCCACCAAAGTATCTTCTAATAGAAAGAAACTATTATATAGCTACTTTCATAAACCCCCTGTTTCTTATGTTTCATTCCACATCTGGGTTTTCTATTAACCTTCCATAGAGTTGTAGAATATGAAATATCTTTTACCTTCCATCTTCCAGCTGGAGAGCTCTCAGTCCTGCCAGTACGGCATCTTTATTTACTCGACGTAGATCATCCCCAAGAATAACCAGACATGACAGACCTGTGTAAGTCATTGCTATGTGCCCACTATCATAGGGATGAGATATACCTGGACCCTAGGAAAAGGGGGGAGGAGGGGGAAATTGAAACATCATATTACCTTATATTAGAGTCAAGCATTCATTATTTAAAAAAAATTAGGAGGTAAACAAAGTTCTTTTCCCTCCACTCATTATGGTTAAACTGAAGGCATCCCACTCACCTTTTCTAATCAAACTAAGCTACCGTACAGCTCTGCTACCTTTGTAAACAGTTGGTCAGTACAAAGCTTTGCCAAGAGTGGTATTTATGCAAGAGTTAAGCAAAAAGATGGGATGTGCTCAACTGTACCTAAGTTTATCCTGACACACCACTGGGCATTAACTTGCTGGCAGCTGGGTAAGCACTGTTAAAACAGCCAAACCTCTGGAGGTCCCTTCAACAAAGATTTCACAACCTAATGATCTGCAAGTAGAAAGCAATGTGGGGGATTATTAGTAATCTCTGTCAATTGAAGCAATACCAAATTCGCCTCTCAACTACTTTCACTTCTGTTCTAAAACAATAATCAGACCTTAAACGAAGTATTTACATAGCAAATAATAACTGAGAAGCTAAAATGAGAATTAAATGCTGACTAGTCACACAATACAAATCACAATAATGGGCGGGGGATTGATACAGTTGTGCTAAAATTATTGTTTTTTCTTTCTGATATTTTATAGGCACATCCTGGACTGCACCACGTCACAAAAACAAAAACCACATGTAACAAGATGACTTTAGATACTTAGGATGGTTCAATTTGGAGCAACTGGAAGATAACTATTTTAAACAGCATAAAAGCTATTTCAATATTGAGTAGTAGAGACAGGTAAGGGTTTACATCATATTTTATTAGCATTATCGCCTAGTCAGTTGCCATTATTTTGCAATTCATCCTAAAAACACATGCAAAAAGTGGTATAAACCCAAATTTAAGATTATGTTATGTGTAATTGGTATTTTTCAGGCAAGTCACACTTACTTCCAAAGCCAAAAAGCTTTGCTTCTAATAAGAAACTGAGAAAAATACTTGCTACCCTCTAGACAGCAAGGCACTGTTCTCACACTTGGGAATCAAATAGATTGGGAAATGGAGGCAGGAAACAAGGTGAAAGTGGCTGCAATAGCACTGAAAAAGCTCTAGCTACGCAACAGAGAAGAGGAACAAGGGAGTGAATGCTGAGAGATGCACCTCCTCTCCTCATTTCCAGAACTAGACTCTCTGTTGAGAAGGGGACACAAATCTCAACAGCTCCCACTCCTGACCCTGAGCTGCCAGTGTCCCCATCACTGTCTTCTGCCCTGCACATCCCCCAGTCCCACAGACACAATCACAGCATGGTGAAGGCTGGCTGGCACCTCTGGAGCTCATCTTCTCCAACCACCTGCTCAAATGGAGTCACGTAGAGCTGGGTGCCCAGGACCATGTCCAGATGGTATTTGAACATCTCCAAAGAAGGAGACTTCTCAACCTCCCCGCCAACCTGTGCCAGTGCTCCATCACCCTCACAGTAAAAAAAAAAAAGTTTCCTGATGTTCACAGGGAACCTCCTGTGTTTCAGTTTGTGCCCATTGCCTCTGGCCCTGGCACTGGGCACCACTGAAAAGAGCCTGGTTCTGTCCTCATTGGACCCTCCCTTCAGGTACTTATATACATCGGTGAGATGCCCCAGAGCCTTTTCGTCTCCAGACTGAACAGTCCCAGCACTCTCAGCCCTTCCTTATAGGAGAGGTGGCTCAGTCACAGACAGACTTCCTCATGGCGCACCCCACAGACAGAGGACAGCTGTACCCTCCAACAGATTAGAAAAAGGTACTGCACTCATGAAACATGTTTTTCTAACTTGAGTGGACGACAAGCTCTAATCCCAGAAAGAACAACTTGGCCTATCATACCAATTCTAGGGATTTTAAATCTAACAGATCAAAAAAAAAAAAAAAATCTTCTTTTCAGAATACTTTTCCCTTAAAAATTTATTATGAACAGCTTAACCTTAGCGATGCATTAACTTATTTGAAATGTAAAATTCTTCTCCAAAAATCCAGACATAGAGAGTGACACAAATTTGCCCTGACACCGAAAAATGTTCAGTTTAATGTAACTGACTAATTTACTTTAAACAAAGCGAGTCTCTATTCCAAAAAGCCAAATTTGATTCAGTTCTTGCCCTAGAAGGATTCTCAATGCCCCAGCTCTGTAGCTAAAGCTTCTCACATATTTTGTCAAACAAAATACAAGACACACACTAGTTGATGAAAAAATATCTGGAAAGGTTCTCCGATGCTAGGACCAACTGCTTACAAAACATCCCAGCAGTTCCCATCAGCAACTATGAATAAAAACTAAGTTTCCAAACATCTATATAACTGAAGTTAAACTGGAATGAGAGGAACGTTTAAATTTCTTCCTACATGGAATAACCTAGAGCAGAGGAAGTACAAAAGATGCCTCTGTTCATTTCACACAAATGCACTGAAAATGCTGGAGTCCACGAATCAATGTTAACTGTTCACCACTGCTGTTTACACACTTTTATACACAGTTCATCTCAAAATCAATACGGATATCAGGAATAACTGAACCGTAATAGATATAGCGGAAGAGTTTGACTTTACATTTGAAAGTATTATTTCCAGAGGAAGACTACATTCACTAAGCAAGCAAGGATATTTAGACTTGCTTTTTAAAACGAAATTTATGAAAACCACCCAAATGTTCTAGCCACTACAAACGTGCTTGGATATTCAGGAAATTTTCTAAGACATCTATAGTTCTCAAACAATATTCTCCTTCAAGTGACAATTTTTCACACAGTGTCTACATAAAGTAACTGAAAATTCCCGCTTCACAAGATTTTTTTTAAATTGTACTTTTCTATACATATGCTAATTCTATATTGCCTGTAAAGTTTTGGTAGCCTACAAACATGTTTAAATAACTGGGCTCTTATTTTTTAGTTAATTCTGTATTTTAGTATTTCTGTTATACTATTAATCACTGCAGTATAAACAGGCTGCAGATTAAGTGTTATAAGCACATATACTGTATGCTTATGAAACTAAATAATACCATCCTCCCCAAATTGTATCAATCACTACAGTACCTGAACAATGTACAAATTCTATCTGTACTTCCTTTTCTACACAAACATTTCAAGATGTAGTGGTGGCATACTACTTTTCCAAACACAGAGTTTCAGAGCTGTATAAAATTTTGCAAGTCTGGTAGTTTTAATAAACAGCACAAACTATACTTCTATGATGCATATAAATCAAACAATAGTGTCTGCTGCCTGTACATACAATCATGAAGTTCACAGATAAATTAATACTGCCATCTGCTTCTCTCCTTGAACATCAAACAAATACTTAGGCACAAGTAATGCAGAAAACACTGTCAGGATACATGATTTTGAAACATCATTATACGGGGAATCAAGGAGATTGTCTCAGCATTCAAAAACAGCTGCTTGTAGGTCACACAACTACCTTTACCCCTAACAGATTTCTCTTATCATGGGATTATCATGTGGCAAGTAACTAAATTCTTTGTATGATAAATTGGTATGATGCTAGCTATCTTGATGTAATTACTAAAAAAGCCAGTAATCACTAAAAGAGCAAGTGACGGTGTCCAACATACTGGTATGCAGCCAATGTCTTGAGAACATTTGGGTTTGGGCCAAAAATATCAACAAATATGGCCAGCATTTCAATAAAATTAAATTAAACACAGAAGGATCAGAATCAAATATAAGATCATACAGGAATTACTACAAGGCGTACTCAGAGAGGTCAACATGATGTTTCACATGTGTAATTACTGTGGGAGTCTGGAAGCTTTCAAGAGCCTAACAGAACTTTGTTCACCACATGTGGTTTTAAAAAAATAAATAAAACAGATATCCTTCTATTGTTCTTCTGGTAAGTGTAAGATATTCTGTATGCTAACCATAATTGTTCAAAGTTTAATGGAATTCACTTTATCTTCTGGGTTCCATGCAATTATTTCAAGCTCATTGTGATACTACTTACCAAATTTTATGTTGTACCTACCTACACACACCAATATATACTTCACACACTAATACAACAGAACACCTCAGCTTAAGTAACAGGATGTCTTTGAGAGGACAAAAATCAGAATAACTGGACATTTCAGACAAAAAAAACCCCATGAAAACAAAAAACATGAAAACAATACTTTTTTGCATAAAACTGAGAATTCATTACATTTGTAGAAACTGGCTTTGTGACAATTTGATATCACAACGTAGGACTGGAATGGCTTCTCTAAATACAAGATTAGAGCAAATCTCAAAGTTTTCATGAGATAATTGCTAATACCGCTAAAATTTGCACGGCTGGGAGGAAGTGTTGCTAGACTGTCTCTACTATGAAGGACAAAGTAGTTCAGACATAGCATAAAAATTTGTCCCAAATTTATCTAAGGCACTGTAGTCAAAGCACCCGATTTTTAATTGGCATCTCCAGGCTTGGTAAAACAAAATTCCTTTTTAAGTTCTGTACTATGAAAAAAGTCTACTCTTAGTGAAATAGAACTATGTCTGCCTCACAGACACTGCAGACTAAAACAACAGCAGCAACTAAGCAAACTGTCAGCCTAAGCACAAAAAAACACTGCTGCCACCACCTCAAACTGTGAGCTTCATGGGCCAAGGATGCAGAGATAAACAGGATGAAGTTATTTTAAGAATGGCTAAAGTCACACCTCAAAAACTAGCAACAAAAAAGCTGTTAAACTGTAGATGGATTGTTATATGCTTAGACTAAACAACCAGAAGAAACATACTTAGTCCAGTAAGGTTATGTCTACATGAAGGAGTAATGCAACAGGAGTGGGTCTGGAGGGCAGAACCCTAGGAGTTGCAGTATCGGTGCCCACACTGTATGCATTGAACAATTCGTGCCAGCTGTAGTCTGCCTCCACGGACTTAGGGCCCACTAATGGAGAAGTTCATTCGGAGTGGACCTTCTGTTTCAGTTTCATTTAAAAGGAACCTAGTTTGTTCACCTCGCCCTTTTGCAGCAAGCACATTAAATTGCTCTATAAAGTGTTCTCTACTGATCTGAACTAATACACTGGTGCAGACATATTCTGAGAAGACAACAGTGGGTATATAGCCAGGTCCTGTTCTCTTTATACTCTTCAGCTTTTGTCATAATTACAGTTTGTAGGTCACACAGGAAATAGATTAACTTGGATCTCAGTGATGGATTAGAACAGTTCTGCCCTATGGGCATTACTATCAATATCTCCACAATCTGAGCCTTCCTTAAAAGAATTAACACTTTAATATGCAAGGTGAGGGGAAGCTTTTGGACATTTAAATCTAGTTCAGTGACCCGGAAATGTTCCTGACCACATTATGCAGAACAGCTATTTAAACCTAACTCACGGTC